TGGTACTTCTTCTGGGTTTGCAGGACAAGTTCAAAGTACTGATGGGGGAGGTATTCTACCTACGCTAGAAACAAGGGCTACTACTGAATGAGGAGATGGGTTCACTAATCTCAGGCTGTCTAATGAGGATATCAGCAGACTTCAAAGGATCCTATCTCAATTTGGGTCTCCTAATGGCCCTTCATCACCTGACTCAAGTGGCCAACAGAATCAGACTCCAATGGTGAATTCTGTAAGCAGGCATCTTTCTGTGAACCCAAACTATGCAGGTAAATACACATTGACTTCATATTATCAACAACATCCATTGGAATTGGTTAATGTGTGGTTCCTAGATACAGGGGAAACAGATCATGTTACTTGTTCCATTTCTAATTTCATTAAACATCGACCCATAGTGAATGTTTTTATCACTTTACCAAATGGAACTAGAACACCTGCAACCCATTCTGGCAGTGTTAGATTGGCTCCTAATCTAGTCATTCATAATGTCCTGTTTGTTCCCACTTTCTTTTTTAACCTTGTTTCAGTCAGTAAACTGACTCGGTCTTTGCCTGTCTCACTCATTTTCAAATCCACCCTGTGCTCCATCCAGGACCTTCTAACCAAGAAGATGATTGGTTTTTCCCAAGAGATTAGAGGTCTATATCAGCTTATACCTACCACAGAAGACACTTCCACTCATGTTAACACCCTCAAGACCCAAAACATCACACCAAAGACCTTTGATGTATGGCATTAGCGATTGGGACATCCATCTGAGTCTGGAGTTAAGGAATTACAGAAGACCATTCCTAGTATAGCTTCAGAGTCACTTCATCATTGTGATGTTTGCTATTTTTCCAAATAGAAACGTCTTTCTTTCACTTCCAGTCAGTCTGTTGCAAAGGAAGGTTTTGATCTTCTTCATGTTGATATTTGGGGACCTTTGGCCACTGTTAGCTACAATGGCTTTTATTTCTTTTTGACTATTGTAGATGATAGATCGAGGTGTGTATGGACATATCTTATGAAATTCAAAAGCGAGGCCAGAAAACTTTTGCAAGACTTTTGTGTCATGATCCAGACCCAATTTGTTAAACAAGTTAAAGTAATTAGGTCTGATCAAGGATCAGAATTTCATATACCAGAGTTCTACTCACAACATGGTATAATCCACCAGATGTCCTGCGTAGAAACACCCCAACAAAATGCTCGAGTTGAAAGGAAACACCAAACCATTCTCAATGTAGCCAGAGCTTTGAAATTTCAATCTGGTCTCCCCCTTAAATTCTGGTCAGATTGTGTTCTTCATGTTGTTTATCTTATAAACAGATTGCCTTCTGTAGCTATTTCAAACAAAACCCCATATGAAGTTCTGTATGGTACTCCCCCTGACTTGTCCAATCTCAAAGTGTATGGATGTCTATGCTATGCTAGTACATCAGGACACAACAGAACAAAATTTCTTCCTAGAGCTAGACAGTGTGTATTCCGGGGATTTCCTCCTGGTATAAAAGGGTATAAGTTATTAGACTTACAAGATTAGAAGGTCTTCATTTCTAGGGATGTTGTGTTCCATGAAAACATTCTGCCATGCCTACCTACTTCTACTTTGGAGAATCATTCTGATCCTCCAAGTTCTTTTATCCAACCTATTTACCATCCTTTACCTGATCCTTTTCCAATACCAGACACTTTTTTTCCTACTTCTAATCTACAATCTCCTACCACAAATGACCCCAACTCATCTTCTCCAAGTTCACCATCACCAACACCAAACCCTCACAGTCCAATAACCAATCCTTCTCCTTCTACTTCTTCTCCTACCCCATCACCTATTCATGTTCCTACTTCCCCAGATACATCCTCTATTCCAATAGCAGTAAGAAAACCTACCAGAAACCACATCAAACCCATCAAGTATAATGATTACATCTTGCATTTAGGGACCACACATTCTAAACCAATATATCCTATGGTTTCCTGCTTGTCTTATGATCAATTGAGCCCTAAGTACAGGAAATATGTGATGGCTATGGATTCTGTTGCTATTCCCAGCTCTTTTGAAAAGGCTGTCAAGTATGAATACTGGAGGAAAGCAATGGATTCAGAATTAGAGGCTCAGGATGCTAACAGAATATGGGACATTGTCCCTAGACTCCTCAACAAGAAGGTTATTGGCAACAGATGGGTGTATGCCATCAAATTCTTATCTGATGGTTCTATAGAAAGACATAAAGCTAGACTGGTAGCTAAAGAGTTTACACAAATCTATGGAATTGATTTCCTAGATACTTACTCACCAGTTGCTAAGCTCAATTCAGTTAAAACATTATTAGCAGTGGCAGCAGCAAAGAATTGGGACATGTTCCAATTAGATGTTAGTAATGCTTTTCTGAATGGAGAACTTGAGGAGGAAGTATACATGGAACTTCCACCTGGAATCACTAAACCTGGTTATGTTTGCAAACTCAGGAAATCTCTATATGGATTAAAGCAAGCATCTCGACAGTGGTTTGCCAAATTAACTTCAGTACTTATAGCTTTTGGATACAATCAATCCCACAGTGATTACTCCATGTTTCTTCATCACACTGTTGCTAGAACTTCAATCCTCGTGGTATATGTGGATGACATTATCATTGCAGGTGATGATACTGTCAGCATGGAAGCTTTGCGAGTTCATCCAAGTACGCAGTTTAAATTGAGGGATCTTGACCCTCTTCACTACTTCCTTGGATTAGAGATGGCTAGATCCAGGGAGGGATTTCATATCTGTCAGAAGAAATACTACACAGATCTACTTACAGACACCAGTTTTGCTGATTTAAGGCCTGTTGTTACACCAATTGATATGAAGACCAGGTTATCTGCTGATGATGTTCCACTTTAAGATGATCCTGGTCTGTATAGGAGAATTGTGGGTCGTCTCCATTACTTAACCATCACAAGGCCTGAGATCACCTTTGCTGTACAACAGCTATGCCAATACCAGGCAACACCTACCACCACACACTTACAATTGGCATACAGGATTCTTAAGTATCTCAAGAATGCACCAAGTCAGGGATTATTTTACTCATCATCTTCTGGTCTGAATCTACAAGGATATAGTGACTCTGATTGGACATCTTGCCCAGATTCAAGAAGGTCAACAACTGGATATTGCATCACACTTGGACCTTCATTGATTGTTTGGAAATCTAAGAAACAAAGTACTGCTTCTAGATCATCTTCAGAGGCTGAGTATAGAGCTCTTGCTCAGCTTACCTGTGAAGTGGTTTGGGTGAAAAGATTACTACAAGAACTTGGAGTGGATCACCCTAAACTTGTTAGCATTTTCTGTGACAGTCGATATGCTATCTACATTGCAGAAAATCCAGTGCTTCATGAAAGAACGAAACACATAGAGATTGACTGTCACGTTGTTCGACAGTTCCTTCAATCAAAACTTATTGGATTGAGCCACCTTGATACTGAGAATCAAATTGCAGATTTGTTTACAAAGGGGATCAGCAGGTTTCGACTCCATTATCTACTTTCCAAGCTGAGCATACAGAATATGTATGCAGCAGCTTGAGGGAGGGTATTGAAGGTAAAGATGATTAACTGATGATGATGGAGTGACGATGAAGGAACCCTGAAGTGCAGATGAAGGAACTGGTCGAAGAATGAAGCAGCACTGAAGAACTCCATGTACGACGTCGTGTTTCCCTCAAAAGCAATAGAGGAGCTGAGTAGAAACGATGTCGTAGATGTTAGTGCAGCAGTCCTTTCCGTTTTTACTGTTTATAGCTACGTGTCTTTGTTTTATTGGTAGGTAGTTTGATTTCAGTTTATTACCGTTGTACAGCTGTTGGAAAGGTTACTTTCCCTTTCCCTTCGTGAAGAAGGAGTCGATCTCCTTCTGTATATAAATATAGGCTTTGCGCCATTGAGAACCCTGTGGGTTCCATTACAATATACCCTTTCCTCTTGATTTCACACAGCAACATAATATTTTATGCTAAAATTATGGTTTAATCATGGTTCAACCGCTTCATATCGCTAAATATCGCCTACCGGTTTAATCTATGATAGGAGGGTTTTCTGATCGAACCACCAGTATGGTACGGTATTTCAATCCTTGTACCTCGTTTATCACTTGTAATTGTTAGATTAGAACGTGACCTAAACCTTATTGTAAGTGTTACAGATTATGAAGGTCATAGTTTAGCTAGTATTCCACGAAAAAGTTAATCATCTTAGGAACAAACAAACACACATTTAACACAAATGAGTAGTACTGGTTGTGGAGCATGGGGTAGAAGTTAAGTCCCCAATACCCTTTCTTTTCTTTGTGTCTCTCTCTAATCTATCACTACCTTCCATATTATAGCAGTGAACTAGTCGTCTAATGTTGAATTAGTGATGGATTTTAGCTCTTTATCAACCATTAACTAAATTAACACGCCAAGGAATTAACAAATCTGGTGGATTACCCTGGATTTTCTTTGCTTACTGGAAAAGGAACTCTTCTCTATCAGGTGGCAATGGCTTTCCTTTCAATCCAAGGGATAGTGACTCTGTCGTTGTCTCCATTCAAATCAATTCCACATTATTGTTCCACTAATTGCTTAATATTTTCCTTTTTCTCCTGTCATCATATATATATATATAGTTGACAAACATATAATTAATTAAACTAATTCCCAAATTAACTCCACGAACATGCTGCTTCACAACCCTGACTTAATTGCCCGCTTCATCATTCCAAATAAAATATATTATCCCATAAATCAGATTGTGTGACCTGTACAGAAACTGTTTTGCAGATGTTGTTTGGTCCTAAGCTAGAACTCCCAAGATTAAATAATAAACTATTTATGAATAAACAGATAATATATATAGACATCAATAATCTACCATAAAAGCTAACTCTTGTAGTATATCTCTCCCTTTCTCGTTTCCTTTTATTTTTCCCCATTTCTCCCGATTTGAATCACCTCATTGATTCGCTTCAAAGCCAAAATAAAACAATGGCTGACGAGGAGCATGATCAGAACATGATTAACGACGATGATGGAGAAGTAGTACTTAACAACAGTGATCCTGACTATGAGCAACCAAGCTATCTGAGTAGGTTGTTGCTGCAACCAGAGGAAGCCCGATTGTGGGATCTCATTCTTCTCTTATTTTCCTCTGACGTGGAAAGCAGGGATTTCATCGATTGCTCCGGCGGCCGACGACCGCAGGGAGCTGATTTCCATCCGAGATGGCTCATTTTCATCTCCGTCACCGCACAAAAGTTGTTCCGTCGATCGAGGCAGCCGATGGAGCGAATCGGCAGGGGGCTGGAGCTGTGGCTCAACTTGCTGTCCAACAATGGCGGTCTTCTCAAACTCTTGCTCAAACTCTTAAACGGTATGTGTATGCGTGATTCAATATTATTAATTAAAGACCCCTAACGTACCATATCAGTTCAATTGCTAATAGTACCAGTAAATAATTAATAAATACAGAATTATGATAGTAAGTTATTCATAATTATACTTATACGTTATTTTTACTTATAGACTATAGTTCATCGAGATTATCAATAAATTACTTATAGTAGGGTTGTACCGTTGTAGTGAATTTTTGCTTTAATTTGGACCCTATCAACTAACCATATTTGTTTAATATGATTCACATGAAGATGATTAGTTAAATTACAATAGAGAAACGAATAAGGATTTGGAACCTATCAACTAACCATATTTGTTTAATATGATTCACATGAAAGATGATTAGTTAAATTACAATAGAGAAACGAATAAGGATTTGACCTAGTGGTAATATCACTAGTTTAGAACTTGGAGTTCTTAGATTCGAATTTTTTAAATAGTACATTAATCACAAATTAAAACATATATCATTCTTATGGGGAAAAAATTACAATAGAGAAGTAAAGCCAGGTGGTAATTCAGTTAAAAAAAGATGTACGTACATGGAATTAATGTGGTAAATTATTTTGCTGCAGGGAAGGTTGTGTGGCCGGAGAGGTCGTCGGCGGAGTTTACGTCGTTGATCGGGAACCTTGACCGGAGAGTAGAGATGGATAAGAACGTGAGACCGGGTCATCGGAGATACAAGGCTGTCTTGTCCCTAATGGCTGCCAAGCTGTCGTACGAGAATGAAGCCTTTGTTAAGTCCGTCGTCCAAGACCGTTGGAAGGTAAGTAGATGTAATAACAATGCATATATGGAACAAAATTAACCCTTTGAGTTGGTAATCATTTTTAATTAAAGACTAATCATCAACTCAACTGATTATGTCTCTTATAATTGGATTGTAACCAGATGGAATTCATCGGCTTCTACAACTTTTGGAATGGTAAGACTTCTATACTTTTATCGCTTTTCTTTTACGGTGGATAACATATGTGATTATGTTCTAATCTATTTCATTTTCATTTACTTATAAATTAGAATCTTATGGAGAATCATTTTTGTGATACAACTTATAAATAGGGGAGATCGACACATGACAGCACCTGTGAACACCCAACACCAAGCAACCAGAATTGTCAATTAACTTCTTGATACGTTTGGATTTTGTTAAGAAAAATAAAACAATTATTCAATTACATAAAAAATAATATGTCGGCACCCTCTATGGGATTCCTTCCACCAACGTCTAATCTTGCGTACATCGCCAGCTAAAATAGGGTGTTGCACCACACGACTAATTAATGTCTAATTTTGTGTCATCAATCAGAAACTCTTGATGTGAGTAATCCGCAATTAAATTTAAAATGATCCTTTGGTGATCTAATAATCTATGCCATAATCTCAAAATTACCAAAAGGAGAGTGGAAATGGAACCCAATTAAGGTGTTGACTTCTGGCAATTAACGCATAAGTTGTTTAACAGTCTGTTGACTCTGCTTCTTTTTTTTTTTTTTTTTTTTGATGAATCTCTGCTTCTTTTATTACGAGTGCTGACTGTGTTTACTATATTCGATCCAGTTGATTTATTCCTGATTAATTGTTTGTGATTATATATTACGCTAACCCTCCACTAATAATAATTACCAGAGTACCAAGGAGAGGCGTCAACGCAAGCCATAATGCTAAAAGACACCACCTCAGCCCCAAACCTCACAATCATCGCCTTCCGCGGCACCTCCCCGTTCGACGCCGCCGCCTGGTGCACCGACGTGGACCTCTCCTGGTACCAGATCCAAGGCGTCGGCAAACTCCACGCGGGCTTCATGAAGGCCCTGGGCCTCCAAAAAACCGGCTGGCCCATCGAACTAGTCAGCCCACCACAAGATAACGGAAACCACCCTCCGTCCGCGTACTACTCCCTGAGAGCAATGCTGAAAGAAGAAATGAAGAAGGATGCAGGCTCCAAGTTCGTGCTGACGGGGCACAGCCTGGGCGGCGCGTTGGCGATTCTGTTCGTGGGGGTACTCGCGCTGCACGGAGAGGCGGAGCTGCTGGAGAGGCTGGAAGGTGTGTACACGTTTGGTCAGCCGCGAGTCGGGGACGAGGAGTTTGGTGGGTACATGGAAGGGAAGTTGAAGGAGTATGAGATCAAGTACCTGAGGTTTGTTTATGGGAATGATGTGGTGCCTCGATTGCCGTACGATGACAGGACTCTGTTTTACAAGCATTTTGGGCCTACCCTCTTCTACAACAGCTGCTACAAAGTCAAGGTATGAAATCTATTATATCAATTTTCACAGTAAGAATTGAAACAACGTACCCAGTCGGTGGTTCAACCAGAAAAACCTCTAATCGAAAGCAAAATCGATAGATGATATTTAGTAGCATAAAACGATTAAACCACAATTTCGGTATAAAATACCACGTTGCCGGTTGATCTAGTAAGACTGATGGTTTGGTTGGTGGGAATGCAGGTTATGGCGGAGGAACCAAATAAGAACTACTTTTCGCCGTTGTGGGTTGTGCCCAAGGTTTTGAATGCGGTGTGGGAGTTGATGAGGAGTTTCATGTTTCCATACATAAGAGGGAGGGAGTTGAGAGAAACTTGGTTGATGAGAGTGTTTAGGGTGTTAGGGCTGATGATGCCAGGATTAGCCAATCACTGCCCTCAGGATTATGACAACTGTACGAGATTGGGATCCTGGCCTTCGTCTCTGCACCCGCCAGATGCTCATAACCCGGAGGAAAAGCTCATTCACCACCAGGATTAATCATCTTGGACACCTTGTAGATCAGTCTGCAGCTATTTGGTTATCATTTTTTATTCTCCTCTCGTGAAAATGATGTATTCTCATGGTTTTAGGATTCTGGACCCGAACATGGCAGAGGTTCATGGTTCAAAATGATTTGTGGGCTCCATACCTATGTGAGCTAGAAAGGCCAAAATCTGGATTTCTAGGCTCCATGACGGCCGAGTTTTAAAACATTGAGCCATAGTGCTAGGAATCAGTCTACGGTCCTGGATCGGGCCTAGCAAAAGTAACAAATAAGCTTGTATGACATGATACGGAAACTGACGAACCGTGCCAAACACGGCCCAACACCCATGTGGATTTCAAAGGTCTTAATGCCCGCTCATTTTGATAATAGGGCAGCTTCACTTGGATCATACTAGTACGTCTGAAACTCCTAAATCCAATGGATTTTGGGGATGTAGACGGATTGAGTTCGTATCGTGGCAGGTCAATTTGCCAAGGAACAAAGGTGACCTGCCATTAACACCCTGCCTCTTACAAACGGAACACCGACAAAAAAAAGGATCACGCAGTGGACAAACGAAGTAAGCTATGCATCTCCACTAAATTTTGCAAGACAAAAGAATTGTGGATATACATAACATAGGCACAAGCGTACACCATCATTTGTGCTGCAACCTTTATGGGGAGATGTTGGAATTTCACACATACGCAAGTAATTTGGCAAACCAGGGTTTTGCTGCAATTGCAGTGATATCTTAGCTGCTTTCAAAGTTAAAAATAACAACTGACTGAAGCCAGGAAGAAGGCATTTAGCCTAAGGGGTTAGTTGACCATCTAAGCTCCAACCCGTATCCATCTATATTACCATCTTTACACACAAAAGGAGAACTACTTAATGTCAACCTTTAGATTAGCCACCCACAGGAAGTTGTCAAAATGGTGGGGTAGCTGTAAAACTTCGAGCTTGTAGAAAATCTAAACTAACTAATATCAAAACTAGATGGAGACACTAGGAAATACAAAAACAACTTGGCAACTGCCTATGAAGAGCAGAAGATAGCAAATTTGATGGGTATTTAAACACTTGGTGGTACCAGTATTGATCTCAGGCTGACTTCCTCCTTCCTTCCCCTGCCTGACATTGACATTCTGATTATCAGAAACTCACAAGGAGAAGTCATCACCAAATTTGAGGACCATATAGGTATACACCTACGGCCTAACTCGGTTGTCCGACAGAACGGCTTGCTTGTAAGCTGAAGAACGATGATTTCCCAAGGTTGGTGGCTTTCCAAGAATTTCGACCCAGCTGTGTGCTGTAACTGAGCTAACTACTTTGTCAACTCTTGCGATATTTGGTTGGAGTCCTAGTTTCCTTTACAAAACATAACAGCTTCTAACATAAGTGTAAAGTTAACCAAGCTACTAGCCTACTATCATTGCTATTCACCTTCACCTGCTACTTGTTAATTGTTATCCGTAGATCTCAACACAAATTGACTACTTTCCTCCAAGGTCACTACTGAATCAAGTGGGGGGTTTATTGTCCATGAACTGCTGTGTCGCGGAAGTAAGCTGTTATTGCTTTTAACCTGCCATTCAAGAAGTTCTTCTCTACCTGGAACCATGGCAATGGTATCTTTAGTAAAGAGCGCACGTAATTGAGGAAGCAATGAAATTAATGTTATACATGGTTTCTCTTCCTGCTTCAAAAAATACTAGAGCAAGAAAGTAAAGTTTGAGGTCCAAGAAAAAGTAGGCATAGTTAGAGAATGCATTTTTTCTAAACTAGAGACAGCTAATTGAGAGTCTATGTAACTATGTAAGCGTTGAGGGGAACTGCAAAGTGAAGCAAAGAAAAGGGGAGGGGGGAGGTGATGATGTAGGTACCTCCAAAGACCAAGGAGGATCAGCAGATAGAGCCAACTCAGCCAACTGATTTAGATCAACATTTCTTGGGAGGAACATTACAATTTTTGACGCAATTTGCTTTGCTGTGTTGAAGAGCAAATACCTGTACAAGTAAACAGAAGATCAGAGTGGATAAATAGCTACTTGAGTTTAGGGGATACAAAAAGTCCGAAACAAGATAATACCCATCGTGTGGTTTAAGCATATTGATGTCATAAGTCTTCATTTTAACATAATCCGGTCCACCCCAGGGTGGTGACAAAAACACAGTGTCAGCCAACCCCTGCAAAAGAGAAAGGTATCACAAAGGGGATCAGCACAGTGAGTAACCACACATGGGTATGCAAATAACTACTGCAAATGAGAAAGCACACATGCAAGTGAAATAACTAATATAACATACTATTTATTCATTGTTATAACAAACTATGTCATTGTTCTTTCTTGAGATCAGATGATACAGCCCCGGCTCCCCTCACAGAAGAATTCAACAATTCTAGATCAGTCATCAACGCGAGTGTACAAATCCTAGAGCAGCAGTGATAAATCATGAAAGTCTAAACCTCACATGAACTGGAGAAGGGGGGAAATGGAAAATATCCTAGGTAGTTTTCATGTGTAGAAAGAAAACACGTTAAACATCCATTTCCTACCATACAAGTCAGAAAGCCAAACTTGTCAATGTGCAGAAAGTTCTGATTTTACTACCTTCAGTTTTGGTGCCAAATTGAAGAAGTCTCCCTTTATGAAATCTATATGGTCATCAACTTCATAGATGGTAGCATTGTGATGGGCATAGTCTATCTTTTTCGGATCTATATCGATTGCAATAACATGTTGGCACCTGAGATATACCAAAAAGAAGAAGAAGAAGAAGAAGAAACACGGAGAAAAAAGAGTGCCAGAGTCAGATACATATCTAATAAACCTTTGCCAGTTTAAGTAGGAAAATCTCATATTCTGAGAAATCCTAAAAATCCAAGAAGCACCAATGCATAGTTCTCCAGATAATTGCCATAACTTATGTGAAACAAATGAGAGGAGGATAATCTTACATCACTAGATAACTCCATCCATTAAAAGTAACTTCACAATAAAGAGACGAGAGAACAAAACACCAACCATTGAGCAAATTGGATAGCATTTCCACCAACTCCGGTGAAGCAGTCAATGACGACGTCATCAACACAGTGCAAAGCATGATGCCCAGCTATCAGCTCAGGTGTTACAGAAAACCACCCTTCCTCGTCCATTTTTATACCATCATCAAATCTAGAGAATAGAAGGTATCGCTGACACCAGTATTTCTCAAGAGCGGCAGAAAGCTCCTCCGACACAACTTGACTTTGGAGATCTGTTCAAAGCAAACCAGTGAGCATAAGAAGACTAAATCACCAAGACATGACACCGCTCATACGAAGTTTTGAAATGATATGTTACACAATAACCTCAACTTAGTTACAAACTTAGACCTCTGCACTTTTTTACTTGATTCACTTTTCATTATGACACAGATGGAAATTCAGAACTTTTGTCTTAGCAAGTAATCGAAGGCTTGTGGTCTGTCTAGGCACCGACTGTGATTAGCAACAGTAACTTCTGATAGTCTAGGAATTCTGCATTTGTGGACTGCAAACACATGCTGAATACATGATTATCAACCTGATTTAAATACAGAGGCCATTTCAACAGCATGAAAACCAATGCTACTACAAATAACATTGCTTTTATAGGCAATCTAATTATTTATGTAATGAATCACAAGAAGAACAAGACATGGAAGAAGCTGAAACAACCAGAGAGAGGGAGAGAGGCAATTGACCTTCACTATCCTTGGCAGATCGACAGCGTGCTCTCTTCCTTCTTCCTTTCCGATTTCTTTTGATAACTAGAAAATCAGGTTCAGTGTCCAGCTCAGTCTTAGTATCTTCATGTTCCTCATGCTGGTCAACATTCACAGTGACTTCATCGCTGATCACACTAGCGAGGTTGAAAACAAGACAGATTTCAGCATTTTGTATGCACAAAACATGCTGATAACTGTAGCAATTAGCATTCATCCTAACTTCTTAGAGATAATTGCTACAGCAGTGGTAACTATTTAATAACATATTAACCCTGCTATGACATCAAGGCTCCCAAAATGAGAAAAACCACGAACTAGTAATACCTGTCAATATGCCGTTCCTCCAATGCTGTTTGCTGGGAAATGTCACCAAGACAACCTTTATCAATCCCCTTCTGTGCACCCTCATTCTCCAAACAGCCATTGACGATCGAGAAAGTCAAGCTTGGCAAAGTTCTTTCAGAAGCAAGTCCATCCCCATCACAGACCTCATTAGATGGCTGATCTGCTATCCTACTATCATTAGCAGGTTCCTCTAATAATCCGGAACACTTCAGCAAGCCACAGGAAACAGAAGGGTCGTCATCTATCCCATAGTCCCCAGCAATTACTTCATCTGCCTCATTAGTAAGACTACTGAATACAAGATGTTCCATTCCTGGCGGTGGTGACCATGTAGAACTATTTGTTTTTTCATTATAGAAATATTTCCTCATGTAAAAAGAATCCCAGTATACCGCCCAATCCCCAAAAGCACCATTCTGGTCATGACTCTCTATCCCATTATCCCCAAGTACTTCTGAACCCTGGGGCACTGCAGCCTCAGAAGCTTCAGGCCACTCCATGTAATTCTCGCATTCTTGAAGATCGCTAACAGGGCAGTCATGTATGCAATCCTTCTCCACCAAATCAACAACTTCTTTCAGACCATCAGCAATATCTGGATTCGCGGCATCTGAACTATCCAAAATTGTATTGTCTTTGACATAGTCATCATTAGTCATATGATCAGTTCCAGATACAGTCTGACCCCTCTCACATTCACCACACAGATCAACAAAGATCGACTCGGGAGGAACCTTAGTTGGACTCTCATAATCTTCAATACATAGATCTTTAGAATTGCTGGTATCCACTGCAATATCATAGTAACATGACTCACTCGTACCCAGCATTGATATGCAACATATAGAATTGCTTTTGTTAGCACGCAAAACAGTAGGAGATTCAGTCCCTGCTTCACTCACGTTGGAAACTTCCAATGATGCATTAGAAGTAGTGTAATGATCACAAGAATGCTTCATAACAGTCCCTTTTCTTTTGCCTTTCTTGGTGTAATTCATCGTCTGCCAACATCAGCCATATAATGGAACCAATTTTCAGTGGTAGGAAATAACACCAATTTTGATAGCATGCCAGTAATGTCTTCATCTCCATTATAAAAAAAATTAAAAATTAATAAAGATGATAGCATGCCAGTAATGTTGCATCATTTGTAAGGAACATTATTGAAAGCAAACACCCACGTTCATGCCCCTATGTCATTCCAGCAATCCTGATCTAAGTTCTCAGTTTTGCCCAGTTGGTAAACGAGTAAGATAGGATTTGTTCAAAATTCCCCACATCAATCCACAGGTAATCAGCCTACAAAGCATGAAAATTTCCTAGCATGTTTATGTAGCCACTTCTTTAAGCATATACAGGAAACTAACTATCTCTACAGGTTAATCTCAACAACATACCTTTTTATTGGATTGGAAAGCAAGGGGAAGCCCTAGAGAATCCATCTGTTTGCTCAATTCGTCGTCCTCTGCGGAGGGACCAAAATCTGAATAAAAAAAGCAATGAAATATCATCATGTCAGAGACACCTCGTCGAACAGTTTATTGACATAATGCAGTGAAGACTACGCGTGAAAAACTGGGAAAATGTTCGCGCTGACTACAACTACATACCGGTAGTTGTTAAGGAAGGACTCTCAGAGCTAGTACCGTCGTTCTCCGGAGGCGATTCCTGTGTCCCATGCAAACAAAAATTATTTAGAACTCATCACCGTCGATTACGAGAAAAATTGCCGCCACAACTGAAACCAGAAGTTCAATAGTGCCAGAAGCGAGCTGTAGAAACAGAATTTGCTAGTCCCAATACAAGGTAACTTACAATGGATTCGGGGAATAAGGACAATTCTAGCTTCTCCGTTGAGCCATCATCCCTTCAGAAAGAAGTCGAAATTCAATCAAAACGAAGCATGGAAGGGTAAGTTCTCTGGGGTATAAATTCACAAAAGGGGGGAAACTGAGAAAGTGGAGGAACCATATGTAGACTTCAGTAAGCTTGAACAGGGATCCGAGAGCTCTAATAGAAGGGAGGCTTTGCCTCCTTACTCCACCTTCCTCCATCGAAGCCGGTGATGGTCAGCTCAAGTCAAGTGGAAAACAGACCGTCGGAAGCCCTACTGGCGCGACCAAGGCGAATTCGACCCCGCTTTTAAAATGGGGCTTGCTATTTGGCGCCAACCAAATTGCTATTTGCCGCCAAAAAAAAAAATATATATATACATATTAGGGTAAGGAGTTTCACAATCTACAACATATCCAACTTTCAGAGAACATATTGAATCAGAAAAATTCAACGCTCGCCGGAAAATCATCGGGAAAGCCTATCCTCGACATATACTGCGTACACGCATCAATGAATCATCACTAAGCAGGTGCGTAATTTTTTTGTAGTTTCGAACAATTTTTCCGACGATTTGAAACGAACAGACGGTGGGCCGAAAATTTCCGGCGGCCGGAACCTGGCCGGGCCGAAAATTTCCGGTGGCCGGAACCTGGCCGAGCCAAAAAATTCCGGCGGCCGGAACCAGGCTGAGCCGCAAGATATTTTCGGCCCGGCCAGGTTCCAGCCACCGGAAATTTTCGGCCCGGCCAGGTTCCGGCCGCCGGAAATTTTCGGCCCGGCCAGGTTCCGGCCACCGGAAATTTTCGGCCCACAGTCTGTTTTTGCAATTTTTCGGAAAAATTCGATTTTAGGAGTTGAATTTAGAGTTTAGGAGTTGAATTTAGCGTGTAAGAATTGAATTTAGAGTTTAGGAGTTGAATTTAGCGGTTAAGAATTGAAATTAGCGTTTAGGTTCACAGGAATATTGATATATTATATTGTAATTGTAGGAAAAATGTCAGAGTTGTTACCGGCCGATCATGATTACACACAGGAATTTGAGAATGGGATCCATTATGCAAGTGTGGAGTTAGCTGAGTTAGCTGCAAGAACAATCGCTCAGCAGTGTGGGTTCTTTATTGTTAGAGGATCATGGAAACCGAATACTGCTGGACAGAATCCTGTTACTGCCCTCTGTATGTATTGCGACAGAAGTAGTAGGATCGTTAAGTCTTATAAACCAGACCCTACGAAGGAGACGCGTGGGAATATTAGTTCGAAGGGTACTGGTTGCCAGTTTCAGATATGTATAAAGGAAGTATGGCAAAAGGATGGTCCAAACACATGGGTCATGGTGGGAGTGACAAGTCGTGAAACCGGAGCTAATAGAGGGTTTCACAACCATGAAAAGGTGTTGTATCCAGAACATCACCGACACAACAAACAGTTTAGTGAGGCTGAAAAAGAGAGGTTAAGATTAATGAGGAAGGCGGGGGTGAGACCAAATCAGCAGAAGACGACACTCAATACTGAAGGGGGTGTGCATCATGATATCAAACAGATGTACAACATAAATTCCAAGACAAGATTGGATGAGATGGGTGAAATGGATGCGATACAGTTTGCGCTTCACGGAGCTGAACATCGTGGGTACCATATCTGTTTGCAAAAGGACTCTAATAATGTGCTCACTAATTTGTTTTTTGCGCACCCGACGTCCATTCAGATGTTGCATGCATGGCCGTACGTCATCCTCATTGACTCGACCTACAAGACCAACAGGTACGGCTGGCCATGGGTTGAGATTATTGGGGTTACTCCAGTGAAGAAGAATTTCAACATTGCATGTGCAATTATTAAGCAGGAAACAAAGGAAGCATATGAGTGGCTGCTGCGATGTATTAAAGGGTTGCTCGGTGATACGGTTCCGAATGTCATTGTGACAGACAAAGAAGGTGGTTTGCTTGCTTCTATTCCTGTGGTCTTCCCTCTCCCACATACTGTCCACCTACTATGTTTATGGCACGTCAACAACTGTGTGAAGCAAAAGTTTGAAGTGTTACTTGGTGGAATTGCAAAAAGAGAGGTAGCACATGCGGTATGGAAGAAATATTTCGACAAAGCTGCATGGAGTTGGACTCAGGAGGGTTTTCTTCAAAAGATTAATGAGTTTGAGAGGGTCTGGACAGTGAAGAACAAAAAAATGGTCGACTACGTGCGAGGTGAGTGGTTGTCTCATCAGACAATGTGGGCAATGTGCTACACGAACCATGTGTTTCATCTTGGTAACACGAGCTCGAATAGAGTTGAGTCATCTCACTCTTCATTCAAGACTTTCCTTGTGTCTGGTAGAGGAGCGATCGACACTTGTTTTGCGAAGAACCACAACTACATGGAACATCAGTTTCTGGAAGTGGTGAATGAACTGCACAAGTCACTGAACCGCAATCTAAGTAGGGCAATTGAGGCTCCGTGCACGTTTTTGAGGAGGGTCGTTAGTTCTGAGGCAATCAAACTAATGTTAGATGGGGCGGCGGAGTTGAAGGACAGTTGTGCGTGTCATTTTCAGATGACACATGGGCTCAAGTGTGCTTGTCAGATTGTTCAAGCTAAGGAAGAAGGACGTCAATTCTATGCTCAAGAGTTGCATGTATTAACATTAATTGTTAATTAATCACAAATTAATTAATTTTCTATTAACTAATGTACTATTAAAATTAATTGTTAATTAATCACAAATTAATTAATTTTCTATTAACTAATGTACTGAATATTAACATTAATTGTTAAATCAATTCTTAATTAATTAAAATTCCATTAACTAATCTAAGTAATTAAACATTCAAACGCCTATTACAAAAAAAACATTTATACACCAACTTAAATAAATATTAACACTAATTGCTAATTTCTACTAACTAATTAAGTATTTATTTATTTATTAATTAATTATCGTATTAAATTAAATTAAATACAAAAACTGGCCGGGCCGAAAGAATTTTGCGGCCGGTGCGCCGCCGGGCCGAAAAAATTTTGCGGCTGGTGCGTCGTCGGGCCGAAAAACATTTTCGGCCGGTGCGACGGCCGGCCGAAATTTTTTTTCGGCCCGGCGGCGTATTGGCCGCAGTTTTTTTTCGGCCCGCCCTGTTTTTCGCCGGAAAACTGGAAAACTTGCCGGGAAACTGGAAAACTGGCCGGAAAAAATAAACTTACTTGTTTTCCGACGAGCTGAGGGCGACGGGAGGTTAGCCGACGACGGAAGAACGGTGCCGGCGACGGAGGCACTGGGCTCGTCAACAGAAGTTTTTGTTGGAATGAGTCAAATGTTCATGGGTATCCGAATTTATAGAATGAAAGGAAGGGAAGAGAGGGAAAATTCAAAATTTGAATTCAAAATTTTTTTTTTTTTGTTGGCGGCAAATAGCAATTTGGTTGGCGGCAAATAGCCGTTCACTTTAAAATACGACTGTCTCGCGACTACAGTGAAGCCTTTGGTAGCTATTAGCTAACAAATAAAATAAGTCAATGAACCCTTTAAACGGCGCCGCTTTCATCCTTCCAGTCATCCAGTCCCAGTGAATCCAGAGAGAAGAAAAATGAAAAGGCTGAAAAGCCCTTTCTCGCATGGTCGGAGCACTGTAAACGAAGCCTGATCACCGGTGAAGCAGTAAAGGCGGAGAGCTCAGTAGCCGCCTCCACTATATCGGAATGATGATGGAGGATGGCGAGATAGCGGAGGCGGTCGCCATGGAGGAAGACTTGCTGCTGCTCAAGAACGGAAAGTCAGCCTATGATAGGCTCCGCGAAAGCAAAGCTTCAGTTGAGGAGATAGTCTCCCAGATTCTCTCCGTCAAAAAGGACGGCAACTCTAAATCCCAGCTCCGAGAGCTCGTTACCCAGACGTTTCTCCATTTTGTCACCCTCCGACAGGTCTGCTGCCGGCCGAAAACGCTCTTGGCTTTCCCTCGCCTTTGTTCTTTTATCTTGCCGTCTAGAGTTTTGTCTTTTGACCGCCATTGCGAGAAGAATTTGTAGGCGAACAGGTCGATTTTGCTGCACGAGGATCGAGTGAAGATGGAGACGGAGAAAGCGAAGGCGCCGGTGGATTTCACGACTCTACAGCTGCATAACTTGATGTATGAGAAGGGCCATTACGTCAAGGCTATCAAGGCTTGTAAGGACTTCAAGTCCAAGTATCCTGACATTGACCTCGTCCCTGAAGAAGAATTCTTCCGTGATGCGCCTGAAGATATCAAGAGTTCCGTCTTGTCCAGCGATGGATCCCACAATTTGATGCTCAAAAGGCTCAACTACGAGCTGCACCAGGTAATCCCGCAGCAGAAATTTTCAGTTTTGGGATACTGTAATACGGTTGTAGTGAGTGCTTGAGTGCTGTGCTGGACATGGTGGCATTCTGATTGCAAAATGTTGTTGATTGAGATCAGCGGAAGGAGCTCTGCAAACTTCGGGAGAAATTGGAGTTACAGAAGAAAAGTCTAGCGGAAATGATTGCTAATAGGAAGAAATTCTTGTCAAGTCTGCCATCGCACCTTAAATCGCTTAAGAAAGCATCTCTGCCTGTACAGAACCAATTAGGAGTTCCGCATACGAAGAAGCTAAAGCAACATAGTTCAGCAGAACTGCTTCCTCCTCCACTCTACGTGATTTACTCACAGTTGGTGGCTCAGAAGGAGGCCTTTGGTGAAGAGATTGACTTGGAGATTATTGGGAGTTTAAAAGATGCTCAAACATTTGCTCGTAAGCAAGCAAATAAAGAAAACAGTAAGTTCATAAGTTGATTGTTCTGTCCAGTCTTTTCTGAGCTAGCAGTTCAATTCCTAACCTGTCTGTACTGTGCTGTGCATTCAGTGTCCTTAAAAACCCTGCAGTTGCTTAAGAAACTGAATGGTGATGCTATTGAATTTGTTCAGGTGCATCTGCCAATGTGGAGACTTTGAGGGTTGAAGATGACGTACCTGATGATGAAGATGATGCCCAAAGAAGGAGAAAACGACCGAAAAGGGCACCTAGTAAGGAGAATCCTGATCAGACAGGGATTCATCAAGTTCACCCGCTTAAGCTCATTCTTCATGTACTTGATGATGAGGCTTCTGATCCAAAGTCTGCAAAGCTCATTTCTTTGAAGTTTGAATACCTGTTGAAGCTAAATGTTGTATGTGTTGGATTAGAAGGTTCACTTGAGGTAGCTGAAAACAGCATTTTATGCAACTTATTCCCTGATGACACTGGGAGTGAACTCCCGCACCAGGTAAAGATATTCTCCTCAATTTCTTGTGCCATTCTTGCACTATCAGAAACACGTGCTTCTCTTTTTGTCTATTTTCCAAAATTGATGTCATACTTTGGTTTTACTGCAGTCTGCAAAGCTCACTACTGGCTGTAGCCTTTCCTTTGATGAAAAGAGAACTTCTCGTCCATATAAGTGGGCCCAACATTTGGCAGGAATTGATTTCTTGCCAGAGATTGCACCATTACTTGGTAGTCATGAAACTACAAGTGGCGAAACTTCTAAAACTGATGTTGTATCTGGGTTATCATTATATCGACAACAGAATCGGGTGGAGACGATTGTCCAAAGAATCCGCTCTCGGATAAGGGCTCAGCTGGCTCTTGCGTGAGTCATTGTTTTATATAGTTAGAGGGGTTTTGTGATCAAGGGCGCAGAGTGGATAAACTTGAAAGTCAACTGTATGTTACTGCATGGCCAACCGGCATTGTACCTCTTACGCTGTTACGCATACATTGCCTGGCTAGGACTGGTTCTCGTGTCCTCTATTCAATAAAGTTTTTCATATTACATGACATTAATGATTTCCAATTTGAGTTTGTCTCTGTCTTGCCCCCTCTTTTCTGGTATGTTCTATTCACTAATCAATTGATTAATGTGTTTTTGTTTAAAGTCTGGCACTCTCTTGATTGTGGCTTACAGGGAGCAGCTTGATTCACTTATGAAGCTAAAGTGGCCATCTCTGAGTTGTGAAAGCGTTCCATGGGCTCTACATACTTCTTTATGCAGTTTGGATGGTTGGTCATCAATAGGACCCCCACCTAATCATCTCTCTTTGCACACAGAGCACGTTGAGGAATCCATGAATATTGACACAGATGGACAAACTGGTACTTCAAAGGAAGGGTCGAAAGTTCTGAGGGAAGATGGGGAGCTCCCATCTTTGCTTAAAGCTGGTTCTATAGTGGCAAACGATGTGAAGCAGCTTACTTCTACTCCCAAAGTATCATCCAGTGCAGAGCGTTCTAGGCAGCTGAGTTTGATCTCGAAGACTGTAGTCTCCCCGTTTAGCAAGCGGAAATCACATAGCTTTAATAAATACGATGAGGATATAGATCCAACTTTTTTGGATTTCGATAGTGATCATGACGAGCTACCCTCTAATGAGCATACTGAAGAAATGGTTCCCATTCAGCGCCTTGATTTGTCCTTGGATTCTTGGGTTGATTTTGGTACTAAAGAGTATTCCCTTATCTTGGTGAGAGCAGTGGGTGAAGGCAGAAATGTGAAATTAAAAGCAAAGGTACCGTGAAGTTCTATGGATTACAAGTACGTGCTTCAATAAGTTAAGAAACCTTTTGACGCATTTGCCTGTTTGTGCCATGACAGATTAAGATCAGCATGGAGTACCCTCTTTGGCCACCTTTGTTCTCTGTGGACCTACTTAATTCAGAAGGAAGCCAAGATGGAGGTGACAATGGCTCTCGATGGTACAACGAACTTCGTGGGATAGAAGCAGAGGTGACCAATTTAAAAGCCTAGTTGAATGTGCCTGAGTGAATGTAGTAATATGTGGTGACTGGTGAAAGCTAATTTTTGTCTTTCTGGATTTGGTGATTTGTTAGGTCAACCTCAATATACTGAAGCTTGTACCAAGTGATGAAGAAAACAACATCTTAGCCCATCACGTTCACCGTCTTGCTATGTTGTTCGACTATCTGATGGATGATGAAGCATCATCACCAGGTCAAAAGAATACCCATGTGGTTGGTTTCGGTTTGTCTAAGCCGGCCAGCGGTACGATTCTGGCCAGGTCACATAGGGGAAGGGATAGGAGGAGGATGATATCCTGGAAGGACATGGATTCCAAATCTGGCAACTTGTAGACAGAATCCAGGCTCCCCGCTTTCAGTTTTATGTATGTTCTCCTTTCCATTTGTATTCAGCAAATGGTGTTTTCCTTATCAATGCAATTAAGCTCCACAATAATATACTGTTGGCTGAAAGTAAATCTGATCACTCAACATGTGATATGGACAGAAGAAAGCAGAACTTGGATGAAACACAGAACATTTTTTTTTCTTTCTATTTCACTGATTCGGCTATGAAGATTTGATATATAGTGATGATAATATAATATTGACAAGGATAAAGGGGATGAACAAGAATGAACCTACAGCCTAAATATCCAGCAAAAACCCTAACATCTGTTTTCAGCTGTAAAATCGACCAAGATGGTCGAACCTATAACGACAAAGGCCATGAATTAAATCTATGATTGGTCTGGCTAACCTATGTACAAATCAACTATAAACCCATTGATATGGAAACAACTTTGAAACTACAGACTACCATCATCGCAAGATCAGCTTCTCTCATTCACACAAGAAACAACCTTTTCCCTCTCGCTCTTTCTCTACTCTATGTAAAGGAAAAACTATTCACCATGGACCAGTCTGAGTTCGTCGCAAGCACCTCCTCTTCCCTGCTCCATTCTCCATGCTCATATTCTCCATCACCTGTTTGCACACACCATCAAAACAAATGCTCAATGGATTAGAGAAAAACCAAAAGGGCAGCTCCACATTGGAGGTTCAGAACTTCCAGAAAGGCACACCTGATTTTTCTGCACCTCCATGATTTCTTCCTGCAGCAAAGAAACCAAAACGTCCATAATCAGCAAAACTAAATAGATTAACAGAGCTAACAAATAAAATCATCTTTAACATACAAAGAAACCACATGAAAGTTAACCTGTTTCCTCTTAAGTTCTTCATTTTCCTCTTTCAACTTTGCAATTTCTGCCTCCAACTCCATAGTGTAAGCCTGCAAAAACCCACCTGTTAAGCCTCCATGAAAACAAAATCCTATGGCAGGAAGTAACATGTTTCATTACCTGCTTGCGAGCACGCGACCTAGCAGCTGACTCTCGATTCTTGATCATCCTTCTCTGCCTCCTCTCAACCACCTTCTCCACTGCAGTATTAGGTCTCCTACCCCTCATATTTCCATTAAACGCATAAGGAACAGGTGACACAGAAGAAGTATCCCCATTGCTCTTCCCTATCCCATCTGACGAAATCTGGCTAGCCGGTGAAACCATCCCACCTTGCATCAACCCATTAGCACCACCAATCCCCTGCAGTGACAGCCCATAGCCCCCTACATTATTAGCCTGCTTTGGAAAGATCTGCGGCTGCGGCTGCGGCTGCTGCTGTACCTGAGATTGAACTTGATTTGATCTAACGCCACCATTCACATTCACATTCAAATGCAAGTTTGATGCCGATTGCATCGGAATTGGATTGGTGTTACCATTACTACTAATCAATCCCACCATTCCAAAACCATTATTAGTGCTGTTGTTGTTGTTGTTGTTCCCTTGTCTAGAAAGATCGCCAAAGAAACCACCAGCACCACCTCCATTGCTTTGCTGAACCTTCCCTCCGACTGCTACTTGTGTATTACTATATTTGTCTTCTCTTACGACACCAGCTCTCACCAGAAACTCCTCCAAGGTCATTTCCCCTAAAGTCTGCTGCCTTTGTGGGACAACCTCACTAGCTCCAGCATCTGATCCAGTGCCGTATTCTTTCCATATGTCCTTCCACACTTCATCCACCGTCTTCTGGCTCAGTGTCCGAGGCAGGGTTAACGACCCCTGCCGCTGCAGACCATCGTGTACCGGCAGCGCTCCGGCGGCGGCGGCGGCCGCCGCAGCCATGTTCTGATTCTGATTCTCCTCAGCACTCCATATGTTCTTGAGTAGCTCGTCCATGTTCATTGACCCAAAGTCCTTCCCCGGAACCCCCACCGTGCTCTGAAACTCGTCGAATGTCAGGGAGTAGATTGACGACTGCCTTGCTAAGGGGCAGTTTAGTGGCGTCATCGGTTGCTGCTGCTGCTGATGGCGGCCGGCGTCGGAGGAGGAAACGAAGTCGTTGGTGAAGTTTCTGAAATTCAGATTTGTCCCCATTTGGACCCAACAGGGTCAATTGAATCCAATATACAGAAACCCTGAGCAGCTCCGCTACGAACCAGAAAATTGAACGACCCAGACCCAGAAAAGCTCCGATTTCAGAAAACCCAGTAAGGCTTGAGTCAAAACTCAAAATTGATCACAACCCGCTCCCCTCTTAGACAAAGGACTTCCTACTGTTTACATATATCTCCAAAAAAGAAACAGCTTGATTCAGTAGGAGCATTCCCCGGAGAAACCCATGAGAGAAACGGCGGAGCTTGATTTGTTAGGTGGGTGGAAAAGAGAAACGGATCAAATAACTGAGCAATTGGCAAACGGGGAAAGGGTAGAGAAACCCAAGAGAGCAGGAATGATAAAAGGGGAGATGGAGATCAGTTGAACTCAATAATGTGAGTCCTCATTAGGAAAGGAATGGAAATGAAAAAGCAAGTAGACAATAAAAAGCAAAACAAAGAAAGAAAGTTGTGGGCATTAGCGGAAGAGATAAGTGCGAGGGACATGGAAAATAAAGGCTACAGCTTTGAAATTTCAGGAATAATTATCTGTAATATATTTTTTTAGGAGCTCAGAAATTCTCTGGTGGTCTGTATTTTGTTTTTGTTTTTTGGTCTAATGGGGGAAGCGGGAATGCGCCAAGTGTCGGCTGTCTCTGCTTGTTTGGGTTTTTGCTAGCTTTTAAGGAAAAGGAATGGGAAAGAGCCAAGCTTTTTCATTATTATTATTATTATTATTTGGGGAGAAGTGATTAAAAAGGTAATTTAATTATGGAGTTTATAATACTCTATGAATGGGCCAGCTGGGGAGGGAAGCGTGGCCCAATGAATAGGAAGGTAGGAAAATTTGACGTGACCTACTGCCACTGGCAGAGTGCAAAGTGGAAGGCTCCAGAGACGCCCACGTTGCTTAAGCTGGAACCGTTTGGATTGCAGCTAGTTTCGTTCCGCCACATCTTGCCTCTCCAATTGGTGTTTGTTTGATGCCATTGATTCATGTTTAGACAAAATTGCCAAATGTTAGAATCACAAACATATAACCAAAAAAATATTTGTGCCTTTCCACGTTAAAATTAACCGAATATGTCTATATTCATTCGCAAGTTTTGCCATTAAGGAAAACACATGTAACTTTTACAAAAAAAAAAAATGTTGAGCTTTTATAACTTTTTATTATAAATTTGTCGATTGAAATCAGGTTAGGCATCGAGTAATTTTATCGGAGGGAGCTAAGCAGGCTAAAAACACAATACGCTAGAAGCCCGTTTTTAACAAAACTTACGCCAACGGCCATAGGCCATAGCCAAAGCCCAACGGTAAAATAATGATTAACGATAATGTTGAAGATGGTGCAGGATTTTGTGCAGAGATTCAGTTTAGTAGTTAATTAGTTAGAGCAGAACAAGCCCAAGAAGGAAGGTACGGTGGGGATCAAGGAATAGCAAGATCTCACGCGCTTACTATTGCCGGTGAGCGCGACGCGCGGGGGAATTTGGTCTGGAATCGGGGAGTACTTGGAGTTTGTGGATTTTATATAGGAAAATAAAATAAATTGGGGAGGGAAGGTAGGAATTAGATAGATAAGGGCACAAAATAATGATGATGATAATAATAAATAATGTAATAAGCAGAGTAACAGGAATGGCTGGGAATGGAGAAGAAAGGAACAGAAGGGAAGGGAAGGGAAGGGAATGGTCGCCTCAAAGTAAGGTTGTCAAACCGGTTTATGTCAGTGTGTCGGTTTAGCAAGTGGAATGGTTCGACCGGTGGCAAATACCGGTTTGTGCCGGTTCATGCCGGTCAATATTACAAATAAAATTATAAATACTCATTTTAAAAATGACATTTAACGTCAATACCTAAACATTTATACTTGAATCCAACAAATAACATCAATATTTAATATTTATACTCATAAAATAAATAATAAAATAATTTTTAACAATTAAAGTCACTAAAATAAGGTTATTTTACTTAGAGATTCGTAGATCGATCATGCCGGTCATACCAATAGTGTCACGCCGGTTTTATGACCGATACAAGTTGAACCAGATACAACCGGTGTCACGCCGGCCGACGTGACAACCCTAAGCCTCAAAGTGACGAGTGAGGGAACATTTGAATTTGAATATTTGATAGATTGAGAGAGCAGAGCATATTCCAACCAATTCCCTCCTGCCAGCCAGCCAGCTAGCCATCCTTCAGAGAGTGGATAAGGATTTTAATAATAGTAGTGGATAGTTTACTTTTTTCCCCATATTAGTCCAAAAGGTCAAGTGCACATTTTTGGGGACACTACTTGAAATGGGAGAACCTATAATTTGATTATTTACACTATCCACTACTATGGATTGATGAGGAGACTTGACGTTTATTAAGAGGCAAATTTTAGGGTAGAGTGCCTTGCGTTTTTAGGACTAGTTGAATTGGTTAACATATTTTTTTATGGCCCTCGAGTTTGATTGAATATTGATTTGTATTTTAACAGCTTTAGAGTGGCAACATCAATTTTTTGTTTTTATGAAGAGGATATAGGTTTACTTTTGTGATTTAGATACTACTTAAATAAATCTTTGCAAAGATTTGTGGCATGAAAAAGAGCCCAAGATTAATACGCAAGACCTTATCTTGAGAAAAAAACTTATAAAAGAAATTTATGTCTGAGGTTGTAAATAAAAGCACAAAGAGTGTGAGGTAGAGAACACATAGGAACAGGTTCGAAGAGGGGGGTAATAGGACTAGCAATTGAGGCATGAATAAGCAAGGGCAGGGTCAAAATTAAGTTTCGGAGGTTTAGAAGCATTAGCAAAGGCATACATGGGTTCAACTTGGATATGAGAGGTGGAAAAAATGGGGTTGGGCTGCAGGGCAGGTACATAAAACTTAGGGAGAAGAAACTCATAAATCTCCGTATGGAAGTTGAAAAATCATCTTGTTGTTGTTGTTATTGTTGGCAGATGAGGGAGGAACGAATGGATATGAAGAAGAAGATATCGAGAGGTCAGTAAAAAAATTTGTGTATTTTTTGTTTTGTTTGTGGAATGATTACATTCTAGGAGAATGGGTATTGGTTAGTGGATAGGAAAGATAATTAATTTCAATTTTTTGGATCGAAATCTATTAAGTGGAATTGTCTTATGTTCAATTGATTATGGACGTTGTATCTTTATTTTAACTCTCTCTTGTTAAAGTTGACTAAAGCTTTTAGAAAAGTGGGTACAAAGTGAAGTAATTTGGCTTCATATCACAATAAAAAGTGAGTAAGTTGTTTTAGAAAAGTTGAAAAGGTCATCGCCAGATGAATTGACGAATTGCAGGGAATTACACTTGCAGAAGTGAGCAGAACACCACAAAATGTGTGGTTTGGTCATTCTCATTGCTTAGGGGTGGGCATTCCGTCGGTTCGGTTTCGACCGAACCAAAATTATGAATACCGGATCCCTGAATTTTCTCAAACCGAATTATAATTCGGTTTAAACCGATTTAAACCGAATTATAATTCGGTTCGGTTCGGTTTTTCACCCAAAATCGAATTTGTGAAGCTACTTGTATTTTCTCACTTTTAAATTATTTTTCACCCCTAATATAAATAATAAATATCAATTATATGCATCATCAATGATAAAATCAAACTTTTCAACACATAAGTCATAAACATTTCAAATATTTAAGTCTAAAAACAACTGCAAACATAAAAATCCACCATTTGGAGCTTGCAATTATTGTATTTCGGTTTTTCGATCGGAAATTCGGTTCGGTTGAAAGAACCCTGGTTTCCGAACTATCCATATTTTCCTTCCCAATTCCGAACTGAATAGCATTAATTCGGTTTCGATTTCGGTTCGGTTTAATTTGGTTTCAGTTCGGTTCGATTTGGGTTTACCGAACCATTTGCCTACCCCTATCATTGCTCACCGAAAGCGCCCCCGCAAGGAGAGAAGCGGTGACTAGGGAGACTAAATGATAAAAAGCGATGTCCTGTACCAGGAGGAAAAAAGGTATATAAAGCGGAAAAAGTGAGAGAAGGTTTTATTATAATAATAGTTTTTACTTTTTAAATTCATTCATCCAATCCAAATGGTTGGGTCATGGGTGGGGACTGGATTGGGCTGCACTGTTCGCTGGGCCTATTCTGTATCCATCTCCAATTTGCTTCTAAGCTAAGCCTGCCCCGCTTCCCCTAATATCCTCCTCCTCCCTCTTTGTACGCTTGTAGGCTCTTCCGGCTAATTATTAGCTCATATTAAGAAATTTAAGGAATATATAAACAACTATGAGAGAGTATGGAGAGGAAAAGACACAAGGTTAGAGAGGGGAAGAGTTCTTATTCATCTTATTCCTTTGTACAATGGGGAGCTCTATTTATAGGCACATTTTTTTTTTTTTGCGTGAAGGGAGGCAAAAAGCCAGGAATAAGAAACAAAGGGGAGGGAGAGAGATTACAGACTAGTCGTAGCAACTACACTACGCTCAAAAGTAATGCCCATCACATCGTCTTGCATCAGGCTAGTCACCCCGCTAGGAGGGTTAGCTAGTTCATACATACCGTAGGGATAGACGAGACTGTGCTTCGAGAGCCAGTCCGCGACTCTATTCCCTTCGCGATATGTATGCCCAATGCTAACCAACCAATCTTGAGTAAGACGCCTTCTGATAGCCCCCAACAAAGAAGCATGGGGGTGGAGGGGGTCCACCCTGTTCTTGAGCCACTGGACAACCAGCTGAGAATCCGTTTCAACCTCCAGGCTACAGCACCCATGATTCCAAGCGAGGTTCAGACCATAGAACAAAGCCCACAGCTATGCCAACGCCGACGTGGCCTCCCCAATCTGCGCAACAAAACCAGCCTGCCAACGTCCCTGCTCATCCCGGATCACCCCACCGGCCCGGGCCTTTCCCGGGTTCCCTGCTGAAGCGCCATCAATGTTCAGCTTCATCCAACCTCTACGCGGGGGCACCCAGCCAATGTTGGCTACCACCCGAGCAGCCGCCGAAGTAGAAGACCGAAGCATAGCGGAACTATCTGATTGCCAGGAGGCATGCCACAGATTGGCCTTATAAATAATGGCATGCTCCAGGGAGGGTGCCGAGAGAATCCTAGACAAGCCCTCAAAGCACCCCTTGCACCTGCTCTTCCAAAGAAGCCAAATGGCTGTCGCAAAGAAATCATTCCACGCCATCCCCGAGCTAGTGACCTCATCATTAAGCAAATTCTGTCCGATCCAATCTTTTGTACTTGCCAAGAAGAAAGCAGACTGATCCGTAGACGGGACCTGCTTATTCCAGAAATAAAGAGCAGGCGGGCAATCCCTGAGAACATGCAGAATAGATTCGGGGGTACCATCACACCTGTAGCAGTGCGGGGAATGGGCGCACTTCCTTGAGAACCGGAGCTCATTCGTAGCGATCCTACCCAAGGCCACCATCCAGCAAAAGCATCGAATCCTCTCAGGGACTTGAAGGCGCCAAATCTTTCGCCACAGCTTCTCCTCCGGACTGGTACGCTCAGTGTACGTCATAAGGTAGGCTGACTTGGCCGTGAATCTACCGTTGGGAGTAGCCGTCCAGAAAAGGGTATCGGGAACTGCTGAAAGGGGATCCACCGCCATAGCTGTGCTCCTGTGAACAATCTCCTCTGGCAGCCAATGCTCCAATCGGCTGGTATCCCATCTGCCTTCTGGATCCACATAATCAGCAACCTTTTCCAAGAGCATCTCATCTGTAACAGGCTAAAGCGCCATCGTCATAAGGGGTACCTGCAACATCCAAATATCCCGCCAAAAATTAGTGTCCCTGCCATTATGAATATTCCACGCAATGCCTTTCTTAAGAATGTTAGAAGCTTTATTAAAACTCCTCCAGGCAAAGGAACTTCCCTGACAGTGGTGCAGCATGTCCAGCACCTCTCTCTGTTTCCCATACTTGGCTCATGAGTTGACTCCAAAGGTTGTCATTCTCAGTCAGCAAACGCCATCCTCCTTTGGCGAGGAGGGCCAGGTTGGCCTGTCTGGTAGCACGCAGTCCAGCACCGCCCAACCATTTTGGCTCCGTCAGCTTTTCCCACGCAACAAGATGCATCTTCCCTTGGCCCTCCTCTTTACCCCAGACAAAGTCCCTGTTTATCTTATCAATCGAATTGCAAACATTAACGGGAATGAGCTCAGTATGCATAGGGTAAGTAGGTATGGCAGAGGATACAGCTCGAACAACGGTCAGTCTGGCAGCTAGAGAAAGCCTCCTCGTCTTCCAGGGCGCCAATTTCTTCTTGATCCTGAGAACCAGGTCCTGATACCTGGTCTTCGTAATCCTTCCATGAATAGTCTGAATGCCCAAATATCGGCCAATCTCATTTGTGAGAGGAATGCCAGCCCTGCCGCTAAGCCTTTGAGCCTTCTCCTGATGAATATTCGGCGACACCCACATAGTTGACTTCGCGTAGTTCACCCGTTGTCCCGAGCTCTCACAAAATTCTTCAAGACATTGTTTAATGACCTGCACTTGAGCTCCCTCGGCCTCTGCAAAGAGAATAAGATCATCTGCGAAGAAAAGGTGAGTGAGAGCCGGGCCATCCGGTGATAGTCTGATGGGTTTCCAAGACTTTTCCCGAACAGCCTGGTCAATTCTGTGAGAAAGACGTTCCATGCAAAGAACAAAAAGGTAGGGTGATAGAGGGTCCCCCTGTCGGACTCCGCGAGTCGGAGTGATGGCCTGAAGAAGCTCCCCATTCCACAGGATTCGCATCCTATTCTGCTCCACGCAATACATGATGTAGCGAATCCAAGAGCTCGGAAGCCCAACTTCCATAAGGGTCTCTTGCAAAAAGTCCCACCGGAGTCTGTCATACACGCCTTCTCCAGGTCAATCTTAATCACAATGCCCCCTTTCTTCCCTTTCCTCTTGCGAAGGGAATGAAGCACCTCCTGAACGACCAGAATGTTGTCAGTGGTTTGGCGCCCTGGAATAAAACTACTCTGCCGAGGAGAGACAATGTTTCTCATGATAGGCTTAAGTCTGCTCGTCATTGCCTTAGTGATAGCCTTCAAGCTAACATTATTCAGGGATATGGGCCTAAGTTGCCCAACTGACTCCTGGTTCTCCACTTTCGGAATGAGAACTACCGTCGAGGAGGAGACTTCTTCAGGTAGCGTTCCATTCTCAAAAAAAACGGATAGCCATATCAGTTAGGGCCCTGCCAACCACATTCCACGCCTGCTGGTAGAAGATTGCCTGGAACCCATCCGGCCCTGGCGCCTGCAACGGTTTCATATCAAAAACTGCATTATGGATATCCATAGTGGTGAATGGACGAAGAAGAAGCATCCACTCCTCATGGCTAGGCCTGGGAAAAGCACCCTTCGGCATCCTATCCACAAAAGGCCCTCCATCCTGCAAGTACAAATTGACATAAAAATTAAAAATTAGAGACTTCAACTCCCCAGCATCATGTATCCAGTTCCCATCCGGGTCTTTCAAGCACGCTATTTTGTTGGACCGCCGCCTGATGTTAGCCATCTGGTGAAAGTACGACGTATTTCGTTCCCCAAACTTCACCCAGCTATCTCGGGCACGCTGGAACCACATCAGTTCTTCTTGTTCAAGCGTCGAATCAAGCTCCGCCTCAAGCTTAGAATGCAGCTTGGCGAGGCCTGGAGAGAACGCAGTAGCCAGGCGTCTCTCAATCCCCCCAATCCTTGCTAACAATCTCTTCTTCCTGTGATTAATGTTTCCAAACACTGATTGATTCCAGGTCTGAACTTTATCCGTGAAGTCTTGGAGAGCTTGCGGCAAAGGAACCTGCGAATTCCACGAACTAGATAAGAAGTCATGAAAGTTGCTATGAGTTAACCAAGCTGCTTCGGACTTAAACCTCCTAGTAGCAGAGTTAGAGACTCCCTGAGGTGAAACTGCAGTGAGGATGGGATGATGATCAGAGCTCAGGCGAGGGAGGTGCGTGACCGTAGAGACCGGGAAGCTCTCATTCCACCTCAGATTACAAAGACTCCTATCAAGTCGGCTCGCCTTGTAAGTATCCGCCTGAGTCCCCCTCGTCCAGGTGAAGGAAGGTCCGGAGAAGCCAAGATCCACCAATTCTGCCGCATTGATCCAGTCGCTGAACCGATTACAACGCCTGATTGTCGCAGCAGACGTGGCCCCCCTCTTCTCCTCAGGAGCGAGGATCGCATTGAAGTCCCCAGTCAGCAACCAAGGATAGTCGATGTCTTCGCTCTGCCGAATAAGGGAATTCCACAAGAGCTTTTGACATTGATGGCGAGGGGAGGCATAAACTGCCGTCAGAATCCAAGTGGGAGAATTGGCTCTAGAAAATTTCAGAGAGAGGTGTTGAGGCCCAGCCGAAAAAATCTGAACCGGGAACGAGCTTTCGTTCCAAAAAACCCAAATGCCTCCACTCCTCCTAGTCGCTTCCACCCTAGCAACATCCGGATATCCAAGTTTCTCACACACCCTGTTTGCGGCGCATCCGCTAACCTGCGGTTCCAACAAAATCACGAAGTTAGGCCGGTGGAGTTGGAGAGCAAATCTCAGCGATCGCGCAAAAGACTTGCCACCCGCTCCCCCAACATTCCAGGCAAAAATTTTTATAGACTCAGACATAAAAAACAACGATAAAAAAGAGAGAGGAAGAAGGGAGAATCCACAGAAAAGTAGCAAATTAAGAACTGGCGACAAAATCGCCCGGCGGGCTAGTAGCGCCTTCCTCTGATCGACTGGCCCCCTCCTTCCCCCTTAGTGATTCCGCCTCCTTCTCATTATCTTTTGAGGCTGTCCATGCTTCAATTTGCTGCAGAGTAACGGAGACTCTTCTTTCCCTAGCTTTGGTCTTCTTATCCTTCTTTGGGGTCCAAATTTGTAGAGCTTTGGAGGGGCTGTTCCGCATCGGAGTGCCTTTCTTGGATTTCGCCTGCTTTCCCTCTTGCTTCTCCAAATCCTTGTTCCCCATGTGCCTGGTGCGCGTCACCGTCGAGGGTGCCGAAGGATCGACTGGCCGGACGGTAGATGGGTATTCAGAGACTTGAATGATCCGCATCGTAGTCCCATGGGCCCCTTTGACGACTTGGGTTGAAAAGTCCGAAGAGCTCTCGCTCGGTGGGTTTTTTTGGGCTGCAACGTCTTCTTTGGTTAAAGACCGACCCATGGAAGAGGTAGAGGCCGAGGAGACAGAGTCCTTGGCTGTGGACTTGGACCTGCCACCATGCGCGTCCGGCAAGCCTGGTCTCGGGCCCAAAAGCCCCTTGTCTTTAGTAGGCCCACTTGTGATTAGCTTCTCTTTCCCTTTATTTTGGTCGCCGTTTTCCTTCATTTTCTTTTTCCTCCCACTTTCCTTCCCTGGTTTCTCTGCTTGCTTTCTTTGGTCTTGACCACGCTGGGATTGCGGCTGAGTATCCTGACGAACAGGTAAGTCTCTTTCGGCTTCCATATTTTGATCTTCCGCTTTCCTTACTTTGTGGCTAACAGGACCGTTGTTGATCCGGGAGTCCTCCACATATACATAACCTTCACATTCTCCTCTATCAATGCACTTAAATGTGATATAATAACCATGAAGAGAATCGGGTTAGATCAGGTCATTAAGACCTCTTTTTTAAGAAAGATGTTAAACCCCTTTCAACCAATAAGAGAAGGAGAGAGAATGATTAGTAATCATTGGTAACTACCTACCTAATACGTTAAAGGGTAAGAGAGGAATATATAAAATATTTAATGATATTATTAATTAAAATTAAAATGGCGAAAAACATTTTTGAAAAAATACGATTCTCCTCACAACCCTAAAACTTCCCACCGCCGTCGTCCTCCTCGCCGATCTTCAACAGAACTGCTCCATCGTCCGGCCATGACTCCCTCGTTCGTAGTCCGGCCGTGACTCCCTCGTCCGTAGTCCATCCTCTCTGCCACAACCGCTGTGAATTCCTCCGACACCCCTGCTGCTTTTGTGGTCCATTGCCATCCAGTTTCCCGACGAATCCTTTATTCTGGACACGCCAATACTCCAGTCATGAACGACGTCTTTTGGTTGACCATTCAGCGCAAACATGGAACGTGCAGTTCCATTTGAGTTTGGTGTGAAAGCTTTTTATGTTGTTTGGGTTGTATATATTGTTGAAAGGTTGATTAATCTCGTTGGCATTGCTTTTCATTGATATTGTTTTTGTGTTAATAGCGTAAATAGAAATGTTGATAAGAGATGGAAAAAAGTTGATATGTACTAGTGATGTCGGTGTACTACTAGTTAATATTTTCAATAATATTATTAATAATTGTCTCGCGGCCGGTTAGTAGGGTAATAAGATATTTTAATAACGATGTTAATCTTATTAAAAAATGTAACTTGAGTGTGTTAAAACGTTGATGGATAATTTTGGTTGATAATGATTTTAATAATGTTGTTTGGAAATGTTAACAAGGGATGACAAAATTGATTTTTATTGGTGATCATGTTGTAATAGCGATGACGTTTCTGATTAATAATTGCAATAATATAATTGATAATAGTCGCCCAATCGGTTAATGATGTCCAATAATATGGGTTGATAACGTGGTGTATTATTGTTAAAACTGTACCTTTTATTTGTTAATAACAGTAACGAAAATATTGACATTACCGGTTAATAAGATGTTTTCATAACGTTGTTCAATATTATTAAAGAATGTAACTTGAGTATGTTCATAATGGCAATAATATAATTAATAATAGTTGCATGGTCGGTTAATAATGTACAATAATATGGGTTGATAATGTGGTTTACTATTGTAAAAACGGTAACTTTTATTTGTTAATAACGATATAAAAAATATCGAAATAAATAACTGTTCATTTTTAACTTTTTATAATTTACGTTGAAAAATGACAAGACCTCGTTGATAATAATTGTATAAACAACCAAAACAATATCTATGAACAGGTGACACTGTTTTTGTATTTTGTTAATAATATATCAAATGAACGTTTAATGCTACCTTGCATAAACTTTAATAACATTAAGTTACCTTGTTAACAATTGTCCCAAAAATGTTAATAAATTAACCTGATAATGACCCATTGAATGAAACCCGAAACTTATTAATAATAACCTGAAACCTATTGCTATGTTGATAATGACCCGAAACTTATTGAAGAGAAATCACGTCCGGGAAGCGCTAGGGAAAAAAGGAATAGGTTGCCCATGCTCGTGCGATGAAGAAGAACACTGGGGCCGGAAAGCTGCACGATCAGGCTACTGCTTGTGCGACGGTGAACAGGGCAACAGGCTGGGAAGCCGGTAAGCTGCTGATGTGCGACGCCGCAACGCTGGAAAACACTGGGGAGTGTGGACAGAGAGCGGCATAAAGGGAAACTGGTTTTAGGTTTTCGGGGAACATGAAGCTACGATGCCGACGGCGGAGACGTCCAGATACTGTTGGCGAATGGACAGCCGAAAAACATAGAGAAAGAACCCCCGGCGGCGGAGACGGCTAGTGACTGTTGTACATGTTGAGGAGAGTATCATGTTACGTCGAGAGGGAGAAAAACCGACGGGTTGGGACTTGGGTTTCAAAAATAGTAGGGCTTATTATTCATATTTTATATTATTCATAATTCTCAGCATACCCTTAACAACTAATAACTCCTCGATAACTAATAACTCCTCACTAACTACCTAAACTCAAATCAGCCAATCACAACACTTTAAGATCCTCCTTAAGAAAGAAGGCTTAAGGACCTGAACTTAGGCCGAAGAGAATTCATTTCCATGATCAATGTAGGGAGGTAATTACCTCCTAATGTAACATCCCCTATGGAATCCAAAGTAGCATCCAATGGACATCCACCATACTATATTGTTTCATAACACTCCCCCTTGGATGTCCATCTATTGGGAATATGACTCATTAAAACCTTACTAGGAAAAACCCTATGGGATAAAATCCTAGTGAAGGAAAAAGAGTACATAATCACCATAATACGCCATCTGAAACTGCCTCGTTAAAAACCTTACCAGGAAAACCCAGTGGGAAAAACCATGGTTAAGGGAAAAAGAGTGCAGTGCGTATATGTTCCCACTCATGACAACATCAAAGTGTAGTTTTGTGAACATAACTTTCAAATATCGTCATGGTAAGTTTCTTAGTGAACAAATCTTCTAGATTGTCACTTTATGCATGATCCATTAGGACCATTTTCTTCATACATGATCTTCAGGATCATTTTCTATGAAGATAATCCACAACCACAAGTCATTTAGAGGTGTTGGATCACAAATATTAACCAAACAATTCATAACAAGTCTCATGAATTTTTGACCATTGTGCATGATCAAATGATGTTGTTATTGTGATTTCTTTGGAATCTCCATGAGACACTTGAACGACCATATGTAAACAAATTAGTCATCTATGATCATCATTGTTACCTATAGTAACGAAGTATAATTCAATGAAGTATAGCGAGATACATTTTCTCTCTAACGACATTAACAGACGGTACTACATGACCGAATAATTCACTTTTATCTCAATGCCTAAATTGATCTTTGTAGTTTGTTCACTTCTAGTGATCTTATGATCATTAGGCTGTTAAACATATGAAATTTTTTTCATACAAAATTGTTCTTTCACTTTTCCGACATTGTCTTCCTGATTCAAAAAAGGATCTTCTTAAATCTTCTAGAGTTCAATTTTCTTTCTTTAAGCAAACCATGCTTTATGAAGCTCTTCTGGAGTTCATATCAACTAAAACATATGAGATCATTATAAAATAATTTCTCGACTCTTTTCTTCCAAATAACTATAAAGCATAGCTAACACAATTGTATACAAACAATTACTTCATACTACAAGGTCACAAGAAAAAAGGCACGTCATATACACAACATCACTTAACCAAACCACATTCATAAATCAAACTTATAACTGAAACCACAATATCACGCACATAAGCCTATATGTCATTATACAATCACACCTGCCAAATGCAAATGCTCTAATGCACTTTATTCGAATTTAATCACGTAAGGCTTATTTGACCACTCTCTTTAGCAGATATTCACTTAGATGAATATACCATATTCATCCATTTTATCTCAATCCAAACAAAGGATTGTTTTATCAATCGGTATTGTTCTCGAGAACGTCACATGTTTGCTTCTTGCAAACTAATCCTTCAGGGAGTTTCGTATAAATATCATTATCAAGGGATCCATACAAATAGGCTATCACAATATCTACCAAATACAAATTTCATACTTTTTGAACTGCCAAACTATTTAAATTGCATAACATAGTTGCATCCACCACAAGAGAGTATTTCCTCTCATAATTAATGTTAGGTTTCTACGAGAAATCTCTTATGAGAAATTGTGTTATATCTCTCACGATTTTCATACGCGCTTGCACAAAATCCATTTGTATCCCCGTTACTTTTACATCTTCGGGTGTAAGGACTGTTGTTCGAAAACTTATACCAATAAATCTAATGCTTTCTTTTATATTGGCCAATAAATATCCCTTTGTATGCATCAATAGACCTTTACTTTTGATCCTCTTTGTATCTATCACGTTCAGCGCTGCAGCATAATCAAAACCCTTGTCGACAATAAATTCACTCCGGTTCCAACATTTTCATACAAGCAAATTAATTGAGATCTCTTCATTTTAAAACTTTCAGGTACCTACTGTTCTTCTGGAACTATGATCTCAATATATGACTTGACTCTTCTAGAGCTACTTTATCATCGAGTTGACCATCTTAATTTATAGCTCCTTCCTTTCTCGAGAATTTTTTTTTATCCTTGTAACTAATTGGTCTACCACGCTTCTTGCGCTCGTTTAGACTCTTTAGATTGTCCAATATGGACATCAGTTTGTATTGGAGCATTCACAATTGGGCATGTGACATAATCACCATATGAACTTCGGGTTTATTGAGGATCAAAATGAGATAATGATGATTCCAACTCACATTTACGCCCACTGTTTACTTTTCTCCCCCCTTCACGTTCGAAAATTAATTCATCAAAATGATGATACTAGCAAAGAGAGTCATGAACAAATCTCTCATTGCAATGGACACCATGTCCTACATAAATTCTCATGCAACTCATAACGTGTTGTGGTGGAGCAATTGAGATGTATTCTGCACACCCAAATGTTCTAGCATTTGAATTGTTTGGTCCCTAACCAAAACCATTTGTATGAAGTGGGGAACTTTTGATAACTTGTTGGCTTCATGCGAATTAATGATACCATATGCTAACTAGCACGCCTCGACATGAGATCGATAGACTTAGCTTGTTCTCATAAGAGAAGTTCTGTTTGATTGGATAATCATCAAAATATATCCATCATTCGACAACTAATCTCGCAAACATCAGGTTGCGGTTAGATAACTGACATATATGACGATATAGTTAATGAATCAATCAAAATCACAAAATTCACATATGATTTGCACAGAGAGTGTATTTTTCTGCATACACTTTTATAAAATCTCAACATATTCAATTATTTTCACGAGTATATTATCCTCGAGAGCATGTATCACATAATCAATCCTTTGATTGATGAATTCTCTAAATTGTCACTTAATTTCCATATGATATCTCAATCATTTTTTCACATCTTTATCCAGGATGTTATGACCGGATATGCCAAAACAAAAGTTATCCGATCTTATAAACTTCTAGTTTACACTTTCATATGTACTATTGTATATGTAGTACAAATTTCTTCAGTTAAGTATATGTTCTCTTAGAACACATATATGATGCAATATCAATTATGATATTCATTTATGTGAATATCTTCATAATTCGGTAATGCATCTTCAACTGACAGTTTAGTTCCTTCACGTCTTAAAACATTAGCTCTTCTGGAGCTGTCGCATACTCTTGTACTACATTTTGATCATGATGCACCTTCTGATTGGGTGAATTATTGTAAGCACATATCCATAGTGATAAAAATATTGCCATAGTATTGTTATCACCAACATATTGTTTAGTTACTTCAAGTAACAAAACATAATCTCTTCTAGAGATTTTTCTTACTTTCATATTA